CGTGCCAGCCCTGTTCGCCTGCCCCACGCTCTGCAGCCCAGCAGGCCCCAGGGCCATTCTGCTGGATGTGAGCACCCTTGTGCAGGGCCAGGGTGGGCTGGTGGCTCTGGACCTACAAAATTGCCTTGTCACTGTATGCAGCAGGTGGCCAGGGCTTCGGGTGCCAAGGTTGCACTAGCTGCTGCTCAGGGACTGGCACAGGGCTTTGCACCCTCCGGCGTGGTTAGGCATAGTCTGAGACTGGTTTTTGTGCTTCAGCTGCAGTGGCCTCACTCCCCGCTGAGAGAGGAGATGGTGAAGAGGAGCTGGGAGCACCTCTAGTTAGTTTGCCCCATTCAGAAGGACTTGCTGGTGGTGCCCAACACAAAATGGCTGCAGGGCTGTGGCAAAGGGCAGAGCGAGCCTTGGGCTCCTGCCCTGATGATCGCGTTTGCTTGGTGCAGCCACTGTGAGTCCCCTCCAGCTCCGCGGAGGCCTGAGGGCAGGCGTGTAGTGCTGGAGAAAGTGGTAGAAACTAGAAATCAGGTCAGCGAGAGCTCAGGGCAGGGTTGAGGCCTGTCCCAGTGCTCACCTTGCTTCCGACAGGCTTTTGCTGCAGGTGGCCGGTGGGCAACAGCCCATCCTGTGAGGCGGGGAACAGGCTGGGAGGAGAGTGGCAGGAGCCCAGCAGCAGCTGCGGCTCATGATGGCTTTTCCTGGGCAGGCTGCAGAGCTGGTCAGCGATGGCAGTACTGCCAGGAGACAGTGGTACTGCCAGGCCACCAGCTTCCTGGGAGCGGCAGCTGGTGCAGGCAGCTGCCTGCCAGAGGTGTGGGCTAGAAAACTGGGCTGTGGCCATGTCCCCTGTGCCAGCTGGGGCAAGAGGCTTCACCCTGGTTCTCGCTTGGTGGTTTCTCAGCGCAGCACCGTCTCGCAGCCAGCACAGGCTGGGCAGAGTGGCACAAGATGGGGCAGTGAACAGTGCCCGGGTGTCTGTCAGGCTCTGCCCACTGCTTTCCCACCATCAAGTGAGGGCCAAATACTTTCCATTGCTCCGGCCTTGAAGTCTTCTCCCCATCGCAGTCAGAAATAGTCCTGGGCTGGGAGTGAGCTATTTGCGGTGATCGGTTAGGAAGGAGGAATGTGCAGAGCTCCCCAGACCTCCCTTCTCGCAGCTGCATGCCCTCCCCAGCTGCTGAGCTAAAGCTTAAAAAATTCAAGTGGCTATACTTGGAGAAATGAGGTTTAAACATAGCAAAGACCAGCATGGCCTTTCGTGAAAGGGCTCAGGAACCGCTCCCTCACACCCTTCCTGCAGCCAACCTCGCATTAGCTGCTCTCCAGACCCCAAAATCATGGGGTCAAGGACCCAGTGCTGGGTTTGGGGTGTTTAGTAATCTCCAAAGTGTCAGGTGTTGATTGTTGGCCACCATCTGCAGCCATTTAGTGTCATTTTTCTGTTTGGCACTTTGGGCCCTGGGTACTGAATAGCCTTCTGTGGTAGCTCTCGTGGCGGGGCCTCGTCTGGTCTGGTTCGGGTGATATAAGGGGGGTGTTTATAGGCGAGGGCTGAGCACAGCAGTTGGCTGTCCCCCTTGGCAGGGCGCAGGGTACATACAGCCTTGGGCTAGGTCAGCCGGTGCCATCGCTGTGCAGCACTGACCTTCCCCGGGGAGTTGTCTCTAACCAGGTTTGCAGCTCCAGGTGAGCATGGGCTGTGCTGTGCCACCACGGGCATGGGTCACGCACGGTGGGGAGTGGCCCTTGGTAGTGCCTGTGTCAAAGAGCCCTGGAAAGGGGCAGGGTTGGAGGTAGTGGCAGGGTGGGGGTGTTGCCCTATCCGCCATGGAAAAGCCCCTCCTCTCTCTGAATCCAGGCCAAACAAAAGCCTCATTTGCCCATCACTTCCTGCCCACCTGCTCCCCAGACAAGCCCTTAGAGCCAGATCCACAGCCACTGCTCAGCAATGCTTCACGCACAACCATTTCCCAGAGACGTTTTTCCCTCTTCCTCAGCCCCCTGTCCCAATGGGACCCCACAGACCAGTCCCAGCTCTCCCTGCCACCTCCAGCGCAGCCCTCATCATCTCAGCGATGTGCCACAAAGCATCAGGCATTTCTTAGAAACATCATTTATTGACTTGAACTGCCACTACAGCAGCAGCATTTCCTGCTCAGATGTTGGTGGTGTGGGTGTGTTTTATTTGTTTGGTTTTGTTTTTTTTAAAATTTTTCTCCTAAAGTACTTTATAATGGAAAAAAAAAAAAGAAAAAAAAAGATTAAATGGTACTGAAACAACAGTCAAATTCATTACGAGAGGGCCCTCATTGTAATCCCTTCACAGCGAACGGCACAGGCTGGAGTAAGGGTAGCATGCATCTGTGCTACGGAGGAAAACACAGGGCATTGCTGCTCAGCCGCATGCTGGCCCCACGCCTTCCCTGGGCTGACTTTCGGGTACACGGACCACTTGCCCGTCCCTATGGGGCACCCCCCATCCCTCCGCAGCAGCCTGCAGCCATCACCCTCCTTGGCCAGGGACGCAGCCTTGCCCACCACAACCTGCCATGAGGGTCCGCTTGCTCCAGGCCAAAGACAAGAGCAGCTGCCAGCCGGACTGGCGTTTCCCAGCTCCCACTGCGGGGCTGGCCCTGTGGCACGTGCTGTTTCCGAGCTTAGGGCAGACACTCGTGGCCCACAGCACCCTGGAATAACAGGCCCTCTCACTCCAGATGGCGGCTGCATTTGTCTTTGGGACGCTTCACTTTCTTAAAGCTGAGCAGACAGAAAGGCCAGTAGTAGGCAGTAGGAAAACAAACCGACTAATGTAATGCTAAAGCAGTAGCTTCGAGCTTCTGGGTTAATATTTACTGCTGAAACTACAGGAGTTGAGAACACAGTGTGCGGCTCAGCTGTTTGAGAAATGCGTCGGATATCATGCATCACATGCCGATGATGAAAGAGAGCTTTGAAACACTGGGAGAGGACAACAAGCGTCTACAAGCCGAAATGTGTACAGCTGCAGCTATGCAAGAGCTGGAATTCCACCGCCATCCATGATGGCTGGAGGAATCGAACCACTTAGAGAAACGCACGCCAAGCAGAGGGTAAACTGAGTGCTGGAAGCCGCAGCAACACCCTGGCTAACATGGGGAGGGGGCAGGTTGTAACCCAGAAGCAGAGGGCTAAGGGCAGCAACCTGACGGGCAGGAGGATTTGGATCATTTTGTCTCCTGCAGGCCCCAGCACATCCCTTCCTTCTCCACAGCGAATGTAACAAATGGCAAAAACCGTTCACAGGACACTGTTCAAATGAAACCACCATGGGAAAGGGAGAAACATGCAGCCTCCTTAAATGAAATGGGAGCAGCATGACAGCACAGGCGGGCAGTCCAATCTGAATGCACCACCCAGACAGACTCCATCAGCTTTTTTTGAACCGTCTGCAAAACTGAAAACAAGGGTCGCCTCCTAATTAGTGTTAATTGGTTAAAAGTTTCTGGACACTTTCAAAATGTGCCTTTGCAAGAATCACACCCCCTCCCCCCAACCCATCACCCCAAGGGCCCCAACAAAGGAATCTGCTCCTGATCACTGCTAGAGTCACGGTTCATCTTCAGAGAAGCTTTGCTTTTTCCTTCTTATTCCTCTTCCTCCTCTTCTTCCTCCTCTTCCTCTTCCTCATCATCATCTTCATCATGGCAATGTGTGATTTCCTGTGGTGCCTGGGGGAAGAGGTTGGGCGGTTTGATCTCACTGATGGAACGGGTCAGTTGATGCCGCTTGTAGTCAGAATCTTTAAAATCCACTGAGGTGCGATTGCGCGTGGCCATCGGTGACTCCTTCTCATTGATGTCGACGTGCGTGTGCTCCACTGTGGACTCGTGTGGCATCTACATATGTAAGAGAGAGAGAGGGGGGGGGATGGACAAGGGGTGACTCAGTGCCAGGGTATCTCCCTGAGACAGATGGAGAGCAAACCCCAGAACATGACCCTTTGGCCCACGGTGTGTCAAATGGAGGCACCTGTGGAAGTGTTAACGAACCTCTGCCCACCTCCCTGGGGTCTGCAACTCACCAGGACGTGGGCAGCTCTGAAGAGGTAGCTGAAGGGGTAGTAGAGGAGGTTGATGAAGGAGGCTGCATAGAGATCAGCGTAGCGCATCACCTGGCTGGCAAACAGGGTCTGCCGAGAGCCACTGCGGAAGAGGCTCCCCATCATCCCGTAGCACATGTCCATGTCATGGGTCACTTTCTACAAGCAAAGGGCAGGTTAGATCCTGAGCCAGGCAGGCTCAGCAGCATGACAACCCTGAAGTGGAGTGCACTGAGGGCTGGGGGCTACATGAGATCTGCAAGGGTCTCCAGCAAGGCTGGATACACTCGTGCCCTGTGGCATCAGAGCACAGCCACATCCCAGCTAACAGAGGGGAAGGCAGCAGCGGGCTCAAGGCCAGCACCTGCCTCAGGCTGGTGCCCCAGGGCTACAGCCCTGCCGAGCTTGTGCCTGCCAGTGCCCTGTCCTGCAGCAGTGAGCACTGCCCATCAGCGCTGCTGTGCGCACGAGGAAGGAGACCCTATTCCAGACCAGGCTGCCTTTCAGGAGAGCCAGTGGCACTGGTGAGCTGAGAAGCTCCTCCGTTTGCGTCCACAAAGCTGGAATGGCTCTGCCAAGCCTGCTGTGCCCACCCACAGGCAAAGCATTTCAGGGCTGAGCAGTGGGGTTGGGTTCCTTTGGGATCCAAAAGGATTAAAAGGGATTTTTATGATTGGTACCTTAATACGTCTCTGGATGGAGCTGATGTCAGGGCGTTCATTGCTGCTACTGTCCAGATGCCTAGTTACAGGCGAGAAGGTAAATACATGGTGTGAAAAGCCTTTCAGAACCAGAGGCTGTGGGATGGGGGCTCAGGGGAGGGAGGCTGGTCTGGAGGGGAAGGTTGGTCTCGTGGGCAGAGCCCAGGCCCAAGTCAAAGCTCCAGCAGCAGTGCTGCTAACCCAACCCCAAGGATTTGTCAGAGCTGCTCGTTAGCTGTCGCTAAGCTGGGAGAGGCAGCAGGAAAGTTGTCACTGTTTGAACACTCACTTGTATAGCTCGGCCAAGAAAATGTCCAGACTCTGCAGCTCTTCAAAAAGGGCTGGAAAATCCAGAAAAAGAAAGGGGGAAAAGGTAAGTTTAAACTGTTGAAATGAAAATGGCTGAAATCAAACCCACCATCCTGCCCGCTCCCCTTGCGTGGCAGTGGAGGGGCACTGCATCAAGGAGCACGGCATCTCACCGCCCCTGTGCGGGGAGGGGGTTCAATCACGCTCTGTGCCATTGGCAGAGCTTTGGGCTTGGTTTCTGGTTGCCCCTTTTGGTCTTGACACTGAACGTTCACAGCCCTCACCAAAACCTTTCAACCAGCCACAAGGCAACTTGCATAACCCCAGACCTATTTACACACCAAAGGGCAAACCTGGGAGAAAAGCAGTAGCGCTGGAGGATGGGAAACACACAGCACTTTGGCAGCAGAGCAGCAGAGGGAGCGGGAGGAAGGAGGAGGAAGCAGCTGGTGAGCAGGGACTCCCTGCAGATGGGAGAGCAGTCATGGCTCAGGTATTACAGGGTGTCTCGTCAGATACTTTTTACTGGAGAAGCCACAGCTCCATGCGGGCAGAGGGAGAGGAGTTTTTGGGGCAGCGTTATGGATGAGGAACAACTCAACCCCACCCAGCTGCAGCTTCCCCCCAGCCAGCTCAGTGCTTGGCTGATCACACGCAAGCGGCCTGAGAAAGAGCATGGGAAAGGCCTGAGACCCTGAGGCTGCCCCAGCTCCTGCCACCGACACCCAGACCCAGGGAAAAAGGGCCGAAAGGAGAAGTGGCAAGCCAGGGTGATCTCTCCCCTGCACCCCTATGCCCTGGTGATCTCAGGGGTGCAGCACCAGGCAAGCAAGAGCAAAGCCTGGCCTGAGGTTTGCCCAGCTTCTGACCGCTTTTGTCTGTCCAGACGTGCAGCTCCTGCGCCAGCTCGGGGATCACCAGGAAGGTCCTCCAGCCCTGGCGCTTCTTGGACTTGAGGATGTCTCCAAAGATATGGTCTCCGATGTACAAGATATCCTTCCCTTTGGCCCCCAGCAGGTCACAGACTGTGTCCGAAGAGCCTGAGAGAAGAATGGTGTGGCTCAGAACGGGGAGCCAAAAGGAAACGTGTGGCTCATTTCAGAGGGCCAGGGTTAGGGACAGAGCAAGTGCATTCTCCTCCCAGAAACCTCCACTGCTAAACGTAGTACCCCTGCTCTGCCATGGCAGCACGGGGCACTGCCCACCCACCTGGGAGTTCACCCAGGGACAGCTCTGCCCACATCCCCCTCACACATGAACAGCAGTAGCAGAGAGGCCATGCTGCCTCCCATCCCATGTGAGAGTAACGGAGCCCTGGGCATCACAGACAGCCCTGTATAACCACCCACTGCCCTTCCCTGGCTCAGGGGCATGACCACCTCCGAACATGGTCATACTGGTGGCAGCACTGTTAAGTACCGCTGGGAATGTTGCACAGGGCCAGCTGCAGCTCCTCCTCTACCACAAGCCCTGCAGTGGCATTTCCCAGACCCTGCCAAGCATGGAAGAAAAGGGCGTTTGAGGAGGAATGGGTCCATTTCTTCCTGCACTGGGCAGCAATGATGATGAAGAGCTTCTGGTGCAGCGTGCAGAGGGCACAGGACAATGCGCTTTGGGAAACACAACCCTGCCGAGCGCCTGGCACGAGTCTCCTCACAGCCTGAGTGGCTGAAGGCCACAAGGGCACGAGAGCCACTCCACAGGACAAGAAGGGTTCTTGCCTCACCTCCTGAGTACACGATGCCGTGCTGCAGTGGGCCAGTGTAGGTACCAATCTTCAGCTTCCCGGTCACCTGAGGAAGGAGACATTGTGTTAGTACAGACAGCTGATACTCTGGATCTTTTCTGTCTTATTGATACTTTACTCTTTGTCTCTCTCACTCCCAGGCAGCCTAGAGGTGGCCTTCCACAATCTTTTCCCATTGCCACCTGCGGTACATTAGGGAGGGCAGCAAAGCTTCAAGCTCTGCTGTGCCCCAGGTAATGGGGTTGCTCAGGAATCAATAAGAGGAGCAGCCAGCCCACCATCTCTAGGGCAGGTCCTCTCTAAACACTGTGTTGCCCATTGCCACTAAGAGACGCCACAGAGGAGGTGCAGGAGCCCCTTCCAGCCGTAGAGGTACCCTCCATACGCCACTCACCGTGTCCACCTGCCGCAGCACGGTGCCTTCCCCAAAGAAGAGGGGTTTTCGCGCATCCACCAGGATCAGGTCAAAGTAGGACTGCCACGGCCGATGGGCGCTCCCAGGCTGCAAAGGCAAAAAAACAAACCCCAGAATCAGGCACAACACAATCAACCACAGGGAGTTTAACCGGAGTGTCACTGTCCATAACCATAACCTTGTGACATTGCAGGTCCATCAAAATCCCCTAGCTCGTGCCTCTTGTGGTACCATGCTGGGTTGCCAGTGCTATCTCCTAAAGCACTCCCCTTCTGCGTCAAGCCCATCCCGACCCAGACTAGCAGTGAGGGCTGAAGACGTGGTGTGAGATAGGAGAACTGCACTGAACATCCATGTCACAGCCCAGCTGTCACGTAAAGAGATGCTGTACATGACACTGCTGCCACTGTTTCCGAAGGTGACATCCTGCGTAGATCCAGACACATGCAACTTCATGGCTTCAGTCTTAAAAGGCCACGTTGGTACATTTGCCAAGAGTGGGAAAATACCTGGACTCAATTCCACAGAGCACAGCTTTGAATCACAGCCCTGCCCGAAGGATACCGGGCATTCATGAGCCCTTTCTGCTCCATGCTTCCGCTCTTTCTGAGATCAACACCACAGCAAGGAGCTATCACAGTTTGTGGTGATTTTCCACATTCTGAAAATTTCTCCCTTGGCTGCCTTCTACCTTTAGAGTACAGTGTGAAAACAAACCTTTTGAGCATGTCTCAAAAGTCTCCAGTGGGAGACTGAGAAAGCAGTATAAATTCAGCTCATAAGCCTCTCTCCAAAAGTTGCAGGGCTAAGTTTTGACCTCCGAAAACCAGAAAAACTATGACTAAAACTTTTGGAGTTACCATAGTCAAGACACAATCAGCCATCAATGTTTCTGCTCTTTTATAAAACTCTTTCCTTGCCATCAAGGTTTTTTTAAACAACATCTAAAACATTATGCAAGATTTCTAAGAAACTTGGCTGCAAAATGCCACAGTTAAAATGTGTTATCACTAAAATAATGTTATCATTAACACAGATTATTGTTTGAGACCAGATGATGCCTCTTTTCTCTTTGTTGTATCATATTTGCTTTGATCTTATTCAAACAGGACACAAAACAGCAAGTGTATTTTAACCAGATTAAAGCAACTAATCCCACGCAGCCGATGAAGCAGGATTAAAATGCTTTGCAGCTACACAGATAATTAGGCACATCAGTTTCTATTGGAACTGCAGTCTAGAAATCACATACCTTTGGTCCATGTGGAAAGTCAAACAAGTAAGTCATAATTTTCTGAAAGACGGAAAGAAAGTATTCAAAGATGTGTTTTTAAACATACATTTGTGTAGTTTATAAAAGCATACTTTTCTGCTTTTATCTTTTCAGGTTACAGAACTTTACTTTCAGGACTTACACAAAAGTCAGCATAGATTTGGAGACAAAATGAATGGATGGAATTTAAAGTGACATGAATTAAACCCAGTAATTTTTATAATCAAAGAACACATTTGCCTCAGAAATCTGCACACTGCTTCAGGTATATCTTGCAATGCTTTAAAATGGCACATAAAACTTTGGATTAGCAGTGTTGCAACATCCTGACATTTAACTGGAGTTGTGGTAACCGTGTGTATTCCTACAGCACAGCAGAGAGCCCATCCTGGCTCTTAGACCCCTCTAGGACACAGCTCTGGTGACCTGTCTGTACTCAGACTATCTCATTTGACAGGGAAGTTCTGCATTTTAAAGGATGTTGAAATCTAAAATGAGTATCGCTTTCTCTTGCAGCCTTTTAATTACTGAGGAACTGAGTGATGCACAGAGGGACTTAAGCCAGGCCTCTATTAGGTCAGTAGCAGAACCAGGACTACAAAAGATGACTCAGGACCTAATCTGCATTCACCACTAAACCATCCTACATCTAGCTTAGAAAACACCCAATTCTCCACCAGAAGATGTCCTCCCAAAACCCATACAAGGGAATGGCTGGCTTTTGCTTAATCCATTATATACCAACACAACAATTCAAGCAGCACTTACATCTGTGTATTTATAGTCGCTGTTTGTGACAAGAAACACCTTCCCAACTTCATTCATGCGGCTGAGCAGCAGTGGCAGCTTCCCCTGAAAGCCAAGGGACAAACAAATCACACACAAAAGTTAGAGATTCATCTTGGGCAAAACACTCTCAACGGTGATCCCACCAGACAAAACAAAGCAAATCAAACCATTGAGCAAGCAAACTCATGTGTTTTGCACTGGCCAGAGCCCAGGGGAGGAAGGTGAGCGGGAAGGGCTGAGCAGGGCTGCAGTGCCTTTGCCAACCGCAGTGCCAGGCACCCTGTGCTGCTCCCACCGATCTGCTCCGTGCCAGGCATGCTGGAGCAGCTCCTCCAGCTCCAAGTCCATTCCCAAAATGGGCCCAGGGGCAGGTGAAATCTGAGCTCACATGAGCTACAAGTTGGAGCACATTATAATTCCAACCTCAAATTAGGGAGAATTTACTCCTGGGGCTATTTTTATTGAATCATAAATCTCAGTCCATTGCCAGAGTAGCTGATTACCTCACAGAACGGTTTCCTAAGAATTTTGCAGGCATGTAACTAGAAACAAGGTTAACTGCTTTAAAGTGATACTCTACCACAGAGCTCATCTGAACTAAAGAATAATTATACTGTAAGTGATCCAAAGGGGCCTTTCGCACTGCAGAGAGGGCAAAAGTAAGGGATCCACTGGAGCTTGCTCAATTAGACGTGCAGAACACACATTTTGAGGCTATCAAGAGACTGGACATTGGTGAGCCATTCAGGATCTTTCCCTCACTCCCTCGTGGTTAAACACGTGTAACATTTTTGCTGGATGGCTAAGGAGTACTTCTGTCTACAAAGATGCTTATCTGTTGCTTTTTAAAAAGAGGTCTGCTTGGGCAGAGAAAATGTGGGCAGGGAACACAGTTGCTTTCACCACTATAGAAGACCCTTGCCAGTGTATTCACCTGTGTCCCGTGATAACATTTCCTCTGGCTTTTACATTTTACGTAAAAAACGTGCACGTGAATACAAAATCACATGGATCACTGGCTCAGAATAAAGCCTGCGTCCGAACTTTCCACTTTGTCTTTGGTTACTACAATAGAAATCACAGCGTTATCTGTTTTGTGATTTAGTAAAGCCAATCAGCAGGTTTATTTCTTGCCTGCTTACTCAGTACAGAATGTCACACAGCACAAGTAAAGTAACTTCACACTTACATCTTTCACCACATACTTTTCCAGATTCTCAAGGGTCTTTTCCTTGAGCGATCCCTGAAATAGAAACAACAGAACCCAGTGAGGTAATGGAAACTTATGATGTAAGAGACATCAAAGTAATGCCAACTTTCACACTTTAAAATGCTGTGAAAGTACAAACCAGGGCGAATCTGAATCAGTGACTCTAGAGATGAGAGGCTTTGAGTAGCAGGGACCATCACAAACTCTGTGATCCATCGATTCCCTCACCATGGTAAATAATCCACTTCAACAGCATTTTAACCCTTTCAGAAGGGAATACAATAGAAACAAACAAAAAATAGATTTGCCATACCAAACAAGACAGTCAACGACCTGTCTCCAACACTGACCATAATGCTTTACTCAAAGGCCAACTCCAACATGTATCACACAACACTGCATAAGGAAAGAAAAATAGATTCCTGATGTCTGCATGGCTAAAAGGACCACCACAAGTACAACTGTGAGCAGAGTTCTCCTGTGACGGTTCTCCATCCCACCCCAATAGACCTCTTGAATGAGGAAGAACTAGAAAATCAGGACTTTAACCAGACGTTAATGCTCACAAAATTATACTCTAAATTTGTGTATGAGTGTGTGAAAAAGATGAACTGCCTCTCCTCTCTAAATAGAGAAGAGCTGATGTATTTCTCTGTTTAAAGCAGGTACTTTTCCAACAACATAAGATAGTATCAATGTAAACCATTTACATTAAAATGCTGGTTTAATAATTAGGACAATGTACAAGTTGTGGACTCTAAGTGCAAATACCCTCACGGCACCACATTCTAAAACCCGTGAATTACAGTACAGAAATGGAATCTGGGAACAATAAAAAGAAATAGGAAGCCAAGACAGATATGTTCCAGTACTAGGAGGGCAGCAGAGATCTTGACTTACTCACATACAACTGCAATTTATTATTTGCTCACTAGGCGGCAAAGCCGGGCTCTTGCCCAAAAGTGGAATAACACATCTTAACTCATGAGTTACAAACCAGTCCCTCTAACTCAGTGACAACTACAGACGTCCCAAGAAGTTCTTGCAATCACCTTGTAATGAACCCAGTCAACAGCATCTCTGACATCCTGGAACATACTCCTGAAGGACATGAAGAGGTCTCCATCTTTAAAACCTGTTTCACAGCTGTGAGGATAAAGAAGAGAGTTTACAGCGGCCAGTCGCAGCAGGTAAGAAATACATCAAGGAGAGAGACAGTTCAAAACGTTGTCCGGAGCTTGTGTTTTCACCTTACCATAATGGTTTCTTATTTACTACTTTACTCAGACTTGAAAGAAGGCTACAACCAGAGTTTAACAGCACCTGTGTGTTACCCAAGAACGTTTGTTTAAAATTTTAGGATGTGAGTTCCTAACTATGGGCCTGTGCCTCCATAGCAGTCCTACAGCCTTCTGTGACTGCAACTCTTCTTTTTCCCCCACAGTATTACAAGAAGGAAAAAAGACTGGGGTTGTGCAGTTTGCACCATTTTACAAAAGATGAATGGTACTAAGAAAATAAGCGAGTGCTGGCTTTTTCTCCCTCTTTCCAACACTAAAGAAGGGGGTGCCCTGGAAATCAACTAAATGTAATACTCGCTGCTGAGAGGAGGAACTACTTCTGTGTTGAACAGGTAAGAGTTAACGTGAGAAATTTCCTCTACAAGATACTGTGGAGGTATTTTTGAGACACCCATAAGAGTTTGCACCAGAAGAAATCAAGGATTTAACAGAGCTGTATTTATTATGACAGTAATCATTGCACCTGTCCTGAGAAAGGATACTTCACCTGATGGATTGTTGGCATAAACAGTTCCTCTGCTCCCAGGTAAAATCCCATTAAACCTTTGCCTTCCACTCACACAATATGCAAAGACGACCCATCACATGAGTCAGCAGCACAGCAGCATTCACATTTGCCAGTTCAAACTGCAGCTTGTTTTTATGCTTATACCTATTTGAAAGCTAGGTAAATGCTCATGCTGCACAAACAGCCTTTTATACCACACTGTGCCTGAGCATTTCACCTTTAAGTGAACAAAGTCCTCAGTTATGACATGAGGGACTTGTGGTTACTGGCTGAGGAAATTCAGCCTTTCAGTCACCAGTTCAAACATTGCTCCAGTGGACACAGGTTCAAAATGAGCTGTCTGGTGCCTGTAATCCCCCTGTCTGCGGTCTTAGAAGCTGGCCCAAATAGCAGTGTCAGACAGTATGGTGACACTGCTATACCCTGTGAAGGAGACCCTCATAACCAGCCCCTGCTGTACACACAGATCATCTCGTCACCGTTAAATTCTCTTAATGTCAAAAGAATAAGAGGCCTGAACTTTTCCCCACCAAAACCACTTGAGGGGCCTCCACTGATATTAAGAACAGCTCCAACTGTGCTGGACTGCTCTTTATACTAACAATCTTACAGTACCATCAGCACCTCGAACTGGAGGGAATACGTACCTAGTGTACCGGTCACAGTTAGTAAAGAAATCCACTAGGCAAGCCAATAGGTAGGTCTCTGCAAAGAAACACAGCAAGATTTTAAAACAAGGATAACATCATACAGCCAGCTAAATTTGGGCCCCGTGCCCAAAAGAAGAAAGTTCATGCAAAAAACCCGAAACAGATAAGTAAAGTAAGACATTATCAAAGCTTTACTGGCTTCAAAGGCACAGAAACAGGCCTGTGTTGGCTCACGTTAGACTCACCTGGTAGATTGAATAACGTGTTCAGAATGTAAAACCTATCTGTGTCATCCCTCTGGATAAATTTATTTGGATATTGCTCCCGTGTTTCAGGCCTGAGAATAGATAAGGTGGAGAAGAATGAAGCCACAAAAAATAATGAGGATAAAATGTGCTGACCTGCAAAATACGGTTGTAGCTGGGTCCATTAACTAGAGTCTGTTGTGCTTTAATCAACACTCAGCTTTCCCACGTGCGCTAGTGGTGCAAGAGCAAAACTGCATCCACCAGCGTTCCCTTCACCGTGCTGGCTCCAGCCAAGCTGGGCACAAAGCCCTGGTTGCTGAGTCAGCAAACTGAGCAGAGCCCACACAGGGGAACAGAGTGGTCAAGAGTCCACAACTCGACCTTGCACCCCATGCTGCTGGCTATAACGATGCCTTAAATCATCTACACTTTCATTGTTTTCTTATCTTAAACTTTCCCCCACTTTCCATGGGTTGCTTTACACTCCTCCGAGCAGCTTTCAGCAGGGGAGTGCAGGGCTGTGCTGTGGGAGGCTTGCCTGGGGCCCTCTGCAATTAATCAGCAGGGTGGTGATGACTAAAGTCATTTAATTATTCTGGTTTTCTTCATTTCTGGAGCTTCTGAAGATCCCCTCTGACTCAAAGAGGAACTTGAGTGCATATATAAGGGCTTTTCCTAAATTTTGGCTTCCTGATACAAGGACTCACAGGCCTGCAATGACAAGGCTTGTCACCTTGGAGGCCCTGAGCTGGCCTGCACTTGTCTTCCACCCATCCACCCTCGCAGCAGGGATACGAGGGGATGTGCTGGGACACTGCAGTCCCCTCTGCTACCTAAAGCACCTTCTCTGGGGCAAGAGAAATGCAAGCAGCCAGGGAAGGCTGCAGGGAATGGCACGCGATGACTCACGTCTGACACCCTCAAAGGTCAGAAACACAAAGGGGTAGAGCAAGCTTGTTCCTTCCCCAAGCCAGCTCTAGCCCTTGAACTTCCTTAGCAATGGCTGTAGAGTCCTCTGTGCTCCCAGCAGCCCTCACACAATGGCTTTGTCTTAACTGACAAGCTGCCGATGTTAAACTGTGCCAGGACTGGTGAACAGCCCCCAGATTATCCAATCAACCCCTTCCCACAGCACATTTTCTTCTTTTCGGCACAGACCTTTCCTTTATGAACACCCCGAGCTGTTGCTCTGTCTGGGACCCTCAATGCATCCCCAGTCAATCCTGGAGCTGCAGAAACACCAGTACAGCATCTGCTGTTAGGGGAGTCCATGCAACTCCTTAAACAATGGGTGCCCCGAGGATCAGTGACAGCGTTTTAAGTCAAAAGAGCGTTTTAAGTCAAAAAGAACAGCCAAGAGTCAGCACTCACCCTCTGAGGAAATTAAAGCCATGTGCACACACTAGGAGGTTTCCATAGGCGTCAACTTTCAACAGGTTTCCATAGTGGGTATCAAACACCAGGCCTCTGTTAAGAAAGCGATTTAAGATACGAAGAAGCGAGCATAGTAAGCAGTGAACATTGTAATAGCAGTTCTTTCCAAATCAGCTCTAGAACAGCTTGCTCACTTGGCGTGGGGCATCAGAACAGAGTTGCTGTTATGCAGATGGGGTCCCTACTGTCCCTTTTACCTGGCTGCAGGTGAGCAACACGAGCCCTGCATTGCCAGGCAAATGGTACAGCTGATCTGCTCTCCATGGACTTGAAAATGGAACCGTTTAACCCGGTAGAGGCTTAGCTATGCACGTACCAGGGAAGACGTGGGCCTCTTCCACAGGATCATGAATCTGACACCTGTGTTCGTGGCTCCCTGACAGCCCTGCTGGGCTGCAAGAAAGAGCGAGGTGGGATAGAGGAATTTCTCTCCTCTTTTTCATTGCTCTGTCACAGACAGAGCCAGATGGGGCATGTAACTATTGCACAAAATGCTTTGGACATTCCTGGTTCCAACTCCAGCAAAACTCTGTCTCACTTAGCTAGTAGCTTGCATGTGGAGAACACATCCTTCCCATAGAGACATCCCTTCTGTCCCCTCCCTGGGATGAAGGCAGTGGAATTAATGCAGTCTTCATCACAGGTTTGTGAAGGGCTACTGTCTTGTTATGGGCATGGACACACTCAGCAACAGTCTCAGTGTAAAACACGCTGAGAGGAGGGAAGGAAGGAGGCTGCCAGACTGAAAACTGGAACAACAAGCCAACAGACCCTCTAGTCCAGTCTTTTGTAAAGTAGCTGCAAATGAGTCAAAAAAGCAAAATCCAGCAAAGGCACAAGTGGGAACAACTTAAAGGCACAGAGTTAGATCAAAAGCCTTGTTTAAAACAAGCAATGTCCTTTTCACCTCTGCTACCAAAAGACAAAATATAAGAATTTAGTAACTTTGCACTGTTAACTTTGCTTTCAGTGTTTGATTCATCTAGACAAGTGAACAGGATTGGTCCCACTTTTATTGTTGCTTACCGTCAGCTTAATTTTCAGGATGTCTTATGCACCAGGACACTATTAATTAAAATCATTAGAAAAAAATGTTCTGAGACATTCTAGCAGCCTCATGGACAGTAATGGCTCCTTCTCCCCTTGATTTTGATTTAACTCCCAATCCAATTGTGTCTCTGCTGTCTTTGCTTTGAAAGGTTATTTTTGGACCAAGTTTTCAGCAGGCCTCTTTTCTTGCACTCTCCCTCTTTGCTGGCATGGTCTCGTGTGCAAAGGCCCTCTGCATACTGGAGCAGTCCGCTCCCTTCCCCAGGATCTGTGGTCAGCCACAGGCTTCACAGGCACAACTCTAAAAACCTGGCCTCATGTGTTGCCTGTGAACTTTACAGAACAAATATTCAAGGCCTTGAGCAGGCTCGGTTGGTATCTGTTAGTCATTTACCTGGTAGGGAATGCAGGATCATACACAAAATTGAGCAGCTCATGAGGGTATCCAATGGAAACTAATCTTTCTACGGTCAGGTCAAATCCAAGAGATTCGTATTCAGGGGATTTATACACTGTACCAAGATGAGATTTCAGTTAGAAAATTTTAAAACAGCTAGGGGGTTAAACAAGAAGGCAGTTAAAAGTAATGTACCCGTTCACCCTCCTCCCTCCTCCGCATCACACGTTCCCTTCTTCGCTCCTGCCCTTTGCTGCCTCAGGTCCCCCATCCCAGAGCCACGGTGGAATTAGCTCACGCTCCAGGACTGCAGCCGAGCGGAGCCGCAGTTCAGGTTTCAGCAGCAGAGTGCACCAGATGAAACATCCGTCAGTCTATCACAGCTCTCTGCATCAGGAAAAATGTATTTCAAACTGCAGCTCCCCTCCCTGCAGTCCCGTTAGGCAGATGCACGAACGTTCCCTGTTCCACCTGCTCGGGATTGGGTTTTGGTTTGCTGTTTTTGCAAAGCTGATGAAGAAACCAATAAATTTTGGGAACACATGTATTCATTAAATTCATCGCTGCTGTGCTACTGTTACTGCTCTGGATACAATCCCAAAGCTTAGTATTGTCTCCAGATTTCACCCCAGGGGAATTTATGTTTGCTGCAGACTAAGTTAGCTTGAAGATAGAGCTGTCAAGTTAACGTACGATTTGTGTGTTAATAATACCATATGGTACTGTAAAAATCTGTTAGCTATTAGCCTTGTGCATCAAAATGCTACTCTTTTAAGCAAGCTTACTGTTCTCACATTTCAGAGGAGCTGCTCATCTGTGACACACACCTTAGCTCAATGCAAAAAGAAATGGACCTGTTTAACCAAGCCATTCCCACCATCAGGCCTGTCTTCCTGCAATGACCTTCCCACGGACTGGAAATGTTACTGCTTAATCAGATCATTAAACTAACATTTAAAAGGAAATCACTGTGTTTCTATGACAGACGGAAATCACTGTTTCTCTGACGGTGTGTTTAGATTTGCTGCATGGTGCTGTCTTAAATTGGTCCTAAGATTAACAAGGTCAAATACAACCCTTGACTGCAATGAGGGTTACCATGGGTTCCACAGGCCCAACTGTGTCAAACACTTGAATATTTCAAATTTAGCTAGGTAAAATATAAAAATGTGCAAGTTACACAGTAAGCTCATTAGAAGACAGACTGCTTCTCCTGAGAGATCTAGCACATCTGTGGAACTCACAATATATATTAATACACACTGTCTATACTGCCCAGGTAATCAACACTGTATATATACTGTGGAATACAGACACTCAATCTGAGAGGAGAAAACAAATATATTAAATACTACAAAAATACTAAAAAGGCAAGGACTACAGAAAAACCAAGAGTGTCAAAAGACTCAGATCATAGTAACTGTGACAGGGCTCCCATATCTCTTAATAATCTAAAAAGCACCAGAATCCTAAGAGTTAATTTTCCCCATTAAACTAGCAGCATTAAAAATGTAATAAGCAAACCTGTAATGTTCTTGAACAGATAACTAAAATCAATAAAACAGTTATCAAAATCTTCAACCATTATTATAGCGATGGCAAACATCAACAACATGATAGAACATTCAATGCACGTAGTCTCTTCTGTCCTTTAGGAAAGGAAGGGTTGATTGAGCTATAGATAGGAATAAGCAATCCAAAACTACAGCTAATGAAGAAAGCAGTGACTGACAAGGCAATTCTGGGGAGTGAGCTAGAGTTGAAGGGAGCAAAAGGCAGTTAGGTGATAAACACTGTGAGAGTGACAGCAGAGCACCATCTGGAAAAAGGAACTCCTCTAATGCAGGACAGAAAAGGCACTTCCCAGGGAAAACAGTAATCAGTACACCTGCAAATACTCTCAGAAGGTGAAAGCTCTGCAAAGCTCCCCATTATGTGAAGCAGCCTCCAGTCCCCCACTCTGTTCATAAAGCTGCCACACTCCTAGTCAGCTTCCTGGGAATTTGACCATGTAACCAACTTATCAAAAAACCATCACTTCCAAACAAAACATTTCTCCAAGGAAATCCTGCTCTTTCTGAACTCACCAACCATGGTGATGCTGCCAAGACACAAAGAATCCCAAGGAGCATGCTGGCATCTCCTCCGGACAAGCAGAAGTGGTTCATCAACAGCTCCAGCAGAACCTTTCCAGGGAAACTGTAGGGCTTTCGGTTAAACAACCTGTACATCTTGTTAACGCTCCACTAGAGAACGGCTGTGGTGGGACTTGTGGCCAGCTGCTCACAAAATGCCCTCGCACAATTTGTTCCTTTCTGTATTTGTCTCTCTGTCTTAGATTCATCACTACAGACCTCCTTTTAACTTTCTGAGTCTAAGAAAACAAACTGAAGCACCAGTAGGAAAAAGGGTGAAGAACAGGTATCGACCTCAGCCTTCATCATCCCAAGTCTCTGTTGAGGTGGTACTGCGACAGGGTTAATCTGAATGTTTCTTTTTGGGGGGGTCGTTATTCCCCTTACCTCTCAAGCTCTAGATTTTTCTTCCTTGACTTCTCTGAATAAAACTAAACTACTAGCTCGTTCATGCCTCAGGTCCCTTCCCTATTTTTCTACCACTCCACAATATCTGGAAAACGAGAGCTGTCACTAAACAGAGGCATGGGAAACTGGACTCCTGGAAACAGGAAAGGGACAATAAATGTTCCCCAGTTACTGTCATACTTACTGTTGAAGATAAACTTTCCTTTAGTTAGATGCATAGCTGGGAGCAGCCTGAAAGCTCACTGAGCCCACCTTGACAGCACCCTACACCGCAGCACATGCTGCATCAATTGGTACGAGCCACAACCCACTGACATGTCTCGCAAGCTGTGCGAATGCCTGTTGCGGTAACGTGAGCTTCTGGGCAAACAAGCGATCCACCTCCTTTAGCTCAAGTATGAACAGGCTAACACTGCTGCAACTATGGCAGCACAACTGGGGGAAGATGCCCCAGTTATATGCATTACTAGATGAAAAAACGTATTTCAATATTGTACTTGGGACTGGTCGCTCTCTCTCGTATCTTGTTTACTTCAGGCATCCGTGGGGAAAAAGAGTAGAAAGGAGAGATCAGTATTTTTTTCCTGCAGCTGCATGATGAAAAAATAGTTTAAAATTTTCCTGGAACAGCCCCCTCCCTCAGACCTGGTTGCTGAGACCACAACTGGACATAACTTGTGTGCCATGGTAATGCCATGAATTCAGCTATTTGCCATGCAGTGTCCCCCGTGCTCAGCTCTTTCACCCAGCTGAGAAGGGCCCAGTCTTCAAGCACCCCCATCTCTGTGAGGCGGCAGAGCCACGAACCCATTTTCAGAGCATTCTTGCCCAACGCACGTGAGATTATCATCAAGACCAAAGAACAATTTACATCTTATTCTGATTTCTTTTTCTCTTTCTTGCTACTTGATGGCTGTGCCTCTGCCACTGTGCCAAGTCCCCAGCTCCAGAGGTCCACGTTATTTCAATAGTCTGTGTTCCAACACAGGCAAATGCTTCAGTGGCGCAGGGCGATCAGCACCCAGCGCTTGTGGATTATGCAACCAGGGTGGAAAGAAAACAACCAAAGCTTTAAAAAAAACAGAAGCCAGTTGACAGCATTTCAGCCTCCCTTTAACACCATCACTTGGTTTAACATTATACTATTTAAAGGTAAAAAGCAGTACCCCGGGAGTGAACGTTGCAAGCCTTCAGGTCTGTGATGAGTGCGGGCGTCCCTTACACGGTACGTGCTAGGAGGGAAGCCGATCTGGAATGAGCAGGGGTTGTGCAGTAAGGTATGCAATTCTCATGCATTTGTGTCGCTGTTTTTACCTTTGCTGCCAAGACACATACAGTAACAATTTTATAACCTTCCTGAAAAGGAAAAAAAAAAAAAAAAAGAAAAAAAAGATCTCTACAGAGGCTCCAGCTTATGCAAAATGCTGCTGCCAGGATTTTAACTCACATGAGGCAGATGCAGATTCAGAGTGTCACTCCAGTCTTGACGGAGTTACACTGGGCTCCCCTGTTAAAGAAAAAAATCAGACTGATTTTAAAACTGCAACAGCTCTTGCCATGTGGGACTGTATCTGCTGGAGCTCTGTCCCCTGGTAAGCTCAGAAGCCGGCCTGGCAGCTATTCCAAATATACTTACAACTGATTTATAGAGGAGGCACAGTTGGTAATCGTGCATCCTGCAGGCAAAATTCTGTCCTCATATCCACAAAGCAGTCTTAGATCATCAGTTCAGTGATAATTAAGAGGAAGAGGCTACAAGCACATTGCCCAAGTGACACAAACCCTTCGATTTCTCTCAGACACAGAGCAACTGGGTCAAGAAAGGGTCTGGTGCTCTTTTTGGGACTTTGCCATTATTGTCCATTCCTCAGTTGGCCACAGATTACTCCTTTCAGGGCACTCACTTTCTTTCACGCCACAAAACGCCTGCACGCGTCAGTGCAGGAGACGTAAGAGACTGAGTCAGGAGCTACTCCGGGAATGTGAGAAGAGAATTTTGCCCTACATCTGAAGGTGCTCCCAGTGAGAGCCTCGCACACCGGGTCAGCCTGACGTAGCACATCTAAATTCAATTGTATACTTTAACACTTATGCTTACGCTTGGGTTTTTATGTGCAAAGCATTGCAGGATAAACCGGTACCAAACCTGCACATAGTGCTGCACCGTATGGCAGTGCCCTGGTTTGCAAGCACACACAGTAAGAAGACCAGACCTACTCTGCAACTTACAGGTATGCACAGAGTAATCAGGAATAACTTTGAGATCCAATTTGCACTAAATACAAAGCTGAATGAGTTGGAATGATGTTGCAAAAAGGACCCACAGAAGTATGCAGACCTCCTAGAAAGCTTCTCTGAAAATGTGTGTTTAAAGCCTGTTTTGTTTCAAAATTAGTAACTGGGGAAGGCTGTAGCGCATGTGATGGCTCTGTTTAAGCTGTGGGGAGGAGAAAGCCCTTCAAGAGCTGCCCATTTCTTTCCTTGTTCCTCCTTCATACACACAAAGATTTCAAATTCAGGCAGGGCAGCTTCTCACTGAAGATGTAACATGGTTTCTTCCAGGGCTTGTCAA